ACTCACTCACACACACACACACACTCACACACGTTTGTGATGTGGTTGCTGTGTGCGTCTCTGATGTGATGCTGTCGTTGTGTGACAGCGAGTGGTACGGAGACGGTTGCCAGGCGACAGCAGGATGGATGGTTCAAGCTTTATGGCTTTAAGTGGTTCACGTCGGCCACAGACGCTGATATGACGCTGACTCTGGCTCGCATCACAGACCGGCACGGACGCAGCACAGCGGTACTGACACACACTCACAGCCGTGATGTCACATAATAATATTTCATAGCTTATGTTCACTACAGTCACATATCGTATATCCAAAGTCCTGTCATGAAACTCTGATGGCGCAGTCCGATAGGTCAAACTTAGTCTGACATAATGACATCACCACACGGTGCAGCTGATTGGTTCTCTTCTGTATCAGCAGCCAATGAGCTCGCTGCTCAGCATTCAAATACTTGGCTAGTGTTTGCTTTAGTGGTTGCAGCTTGCTTCAGAAACCCTCCACCTTCCCCAGCTCCACCTGTATAGATCTGCTACGAGGTGTTCATGTATACTATGGGGGTTATTAATGTATGTTATATGTATTGGCAGCAGCAGCAGATCTGTTCCTCCAAGACCAAACACATTAACATTTTCATGTGTGTGTATATATATTTATATTTATATTTATGTATATATTGGTTGGCAGGTCTGGAGTTTCATTCACACAGAAAACAGCTGTTTTAAATAGTAATATTTCAAATTTTTGACTGTATTTTTGATAAAATTACACACATTCAACAAGATATTCAGTTGGAAATGTTGATGTTTCTGAAAGAAGTCTCTTCTGCTCACCAAGGCTGCATTTATTTGATCAAAAATACAGTAATATTTGTGTAATTTTATTACAATTTAAAACAGCTGTTTTCTGTGTGAATGAAACTGCAGATACCAGACCTGACTCTTAACTATAAACTACGCAAAAACCTGGTGAGCCCTCTGTCCATGCGCAGTACTCAAAACAACCAACAGCTAAAGATTAATAGTTCAAGCAGTCAGAGCGTGTTTTTTTTTCGGTTTTTCATTTAAATAATTACCGTGTGTTTTATCTGTTTGTGTGTCTGAGTCTGCGCGCTGAGATGAGGAAACACCTCCCTGCTATAACAAGCATTTGAAAAGCAACACACGTCAAACATCTTCCCTAGTAATGACTTGTAATGAGAAGCGTTTCTTAACCTGCTGTCCAACAAAAGAGAATGTTGATTAGCAATGGATTATAAATATACTTAATTACTATGAAAATACCCGAGGTGGATTTAAGAACAATGATAAACCATACATTGTTGCAGTCGAGTATTTATTGTTTTAAAGTTTCATGATTCAGAACATTTTTATCTTCTTTTTATTCAGTTACAGCCATAGCTGGATGCTTTTGTCCATATTAGGGATTTCCTGGAGCATCATGAGTTCTATTACTTCTGTGATGCATTTGTGGAGTTTCTGCGCGAGGGCGCCCTCTGGTGTCCAGTATGAATGAAACACACATTACATGTGTTTATACTCCTCAATAATGGCCTATCTATAAAAATAATGCTTATCTTAAAAGAAATTTGAAGTAGACATATGATAATCCATGTTTTTCTACAGTGTAGAGAAGTGTGCTGGAGTTTTTATTAAATTGTACTGGAGGTTTTTTTTAAATAGCATTTCAAATCGCAAAATAAAATACTCTGATGTGCCAAACCACCAGAACCGTGGTTAAAAAAACAGCTATTTATTGAACTATGGTCCAGTCACACCGATGGTACTCAAAATACTTTTCCAAGGTTGGCAGATCTGAGATACTGATGTGATGCACTCTGTGTGTGTGTGTGTGTGTGTGTTTGTGTCTGTGTCTGTCTCTGTGTGTGTGTGTGTGTGTGTGTGTGTGTGTGTGTGATGTGCCCTGTGTGTGTGTGTGTGCAGGGCAGCAGCGGTCTGTCTCTGTTCCTGGCTGAGGCCTGGGACTCTGACGGCTTGTGTAACGGGATCGAGGTTCAGCGGCTGAAGGATAAGCTGGGCACGAGGCAGGTGCCGACGGCCGAGCTGCTGCTGGACGGCATGAGCGCTCAGCTGGTAACACACACACACACACACACACACACACACACTCCGCCGCTGCTCCTCCAGACTGTCACTCTGCTCTCTGTCTGTCTGCAGCTGTCAGAGGAAGGCCGCGGCGTCGCCTCCATCGCTAACATGCTGACTATAACGCGCATCCACAACACAGTGTGTGCGGTGGGTGCCATGAGGAGGTGATTACAGCACACTGCTCCGCACATCAGCACAGCTCCAGTGTGACGTTAGTGAACAGGCATGTGTGTGTGTTGTAGGATCACTCACCTGTGCAGGGAATACGCACGCAAGCGTGCCGCCTTCAGGAAGCTGCTGAAGGATCATGCGCTACATGTGCAAACGCTAAGCAGACTGGAGGTAAACACACACAGGAGTATAATTTTGCCAGAAAAAGTTTTAGAATTTTTATCATGTTAATCTAAAAAATCTTGTGTAATATAATTTGTGCTTGTTTGTTTGCTGGTTTTTATTGTATTTGTTATACTTGTATTTTTTAAATTGTTTTTGCATTAAATAAAAATATACTACTACTACTAATCTCATGAGCACTGCTCATGTGTGTGTGTGTGTGTGTGTGTGTGTGTGTGTGTGTGTGTGTCAGGTGGAGACTCGCGCCGCATTTCTGTTCGCGATGGAAGTGTGTCGTCTGCTGGGCCGCGAGGAGAACAGAAGCGCTAGCGACAGAGACACACTCCTGCTGCGGCTGCTCACACCCATCGCCAAACTCTACACCGCAAGTATTTCTTTGAGTGTATTATCGGTTTGAAGCGCCTCTGGTGATGTGTGTGTGTGTCGTCAGGCGGTCAGTGTCGTGTCAGAGGGGCTGGAGTCATTCGGCGGTCAGGGATACATTGAGGACACAGGGCTTCCTTCCATGCTGCGCGACGCTCAGGTGAGTGTGTGTGTGTTTTTGAGAGTGAGAGTGACATATCGATATTTTCTTTATAAACGATTCGATATGAGGCAATACCGTTTATATCGATATACAGTAGTTTGATACGAGCGCATCTGAAAATATAGCGGAGGACACAGACTGAGCTGTGTGTGTGTGTGTGTGTGTGTGTGTGTGTGCAGATGTGTGTGTGTGATCTTCACCTGTGGTTCTCTGATGAGTTTTCAGTCGGTCAGATCTGCTTCAGCCCAACAGATGGCAGCACACACTTAATCAATCCTGCGTGATCTTTACACTCGCATTACACACACACTACACACACACACATTTACTTATGAATCAGAACGCCAAAAACATTTCATAGACTAATTTTGTTTTTCTATAAATACTACAATTCTATAATTGCATTTATTACAAAATAATATTTTCTGTAACACTATTTTGAGCACAGATGATGTCGTTCCCAAAGGGAGGTTTGTGTCCCTCAGTTATGGTGTAGAAGTGCAAACAGACACACACACATATATGAGTTCTGAACAGCAGAACATTATATATGTACCAGACTGAATTTTAAATAATTAAATGGTGTCAGTGCGATTATGCTGGGAAATGATGCTGAACAGCACAGCAGTAAACACACACACACACACACACACACACACACACTGACTGACGGGCCGGTGTGTGTTAAAGCTGGTTTCTGCGGTCACGCATCTCTCTGTAACGAGGTGTAAACGCAGCGGCTGGGATTGATCTGCTGCAGCCTCTCGTCCAGCGGGAATGAACGGCTGCACCGAATCTGAACACACACACATCAGAGAGAGAAGATCGGAGATGAATCCAGACATCCAGGAACACACGTGTGTGTGTGTATAATACACGCTAAGCTTAGAGTCCAGCTGCTCAGAACGTAATCTGGATCAGAAAGAGAGTGTGGAAATCCATGATCTGCTGTCCTGGATCAGGCAATCCATCTTACGCTGAACTGGATTATTATCATTAACTAAACCTATAACATTTGTGTTACTTCAGATAAATATAATAAAAAATTATAAATAATAAATATATAAAAATTATATTTTTCAGTTTTGTTAAATTTAACTTGAACCACTACAATAACTGAAAGTAAAATAAAAATTAATGAAAACAATATAGATTTAATTAAATGAACAAAACAAAGAACTAAAAACAAAAACACAAAATTAAATAAATGAAATAATTCAGAATAGTAATAAAACAACAATACTGAAATAACGTTGCTGTAAATGCTGTAATTTATTTTAAATTGTCCGATCTCTTATCTGAGCCACAACAAAAAAATAAAAACTAACACACATGCAACTGTTAGAAACTGATGATTGTGTCATTTTAATTCAAATACAGGGATAAAAAAGTTAAAATTAAATGCATTACTTTTGTTTGATATTAAATACAATTTCAGTTTGATTCCTTATTTTTCACTGTAATGGTTATACAAGTCAAGTGCAAAATAAAAATGTTTGTGTTTTATATATATACAGTGGGTACGGAAAGTATTCAGACCCCCTTAAATTTTTCACTCTTTGTTATATTGCAGCCATTTGCTAAAATCATTTAAGTTAATTTTTTTTCCTCATTAATGTACACACAGCACCCCATATTGACAGAAAAACACAGAATTGTTGACATTTTTGCAGATTTATTAAAAAAGAAAAACTGAAATATCACATGGTCTTAAGTATTCAGACCCTTTGCTGTGACACTCATATATTTAACTCAGGTGCTGTCCATTTGTTCTGATCATCCTTGAGATGGTTCTACACCTTCATTTGAGTCCAGCTGTGTTTGATTATACTGATTGGACTTGATTAGGAAAGCCACACACCTGTCTATATAAGACCTTACAGCTCACAGTGCATGTCAGAGCAAATGAGAATCATGAGGTCAAAGGAATTGCCTGAAGAGCTCAGAGACAGAATTGTGGCAAGGCACAGATCTGGTCAAGGTTACAAAAAAATTTCTGCTGCACTTAAGGTTCCTAAGAGCACGGTGGCCTCCATAATCCTTAAATGGAAGACGTTTGGGACGGCCAGAACCCTTCCTAGAGCTGGCCGTCTGGCCAAACTGAGCTATCGGGGGAGAAGAGCCTTGGTGAGAGAGGTAAAGAAGAACCCAAAGATCACTGTGGCTGAGCTCCAGAGATGCAGTCGGGAGATGGGAGAAAGTTGTAGAAAGTCAACCATCACTGCAGCCCTCCACCAGTCGGGGCTTTATGGCAGAGTGGCCCGACGGAAGCCTCTCCTCAGTTCAAGACACATGAAAGCCCGCATGGAGTTTGCTAAAAAAACACCTGAAGGACTCCAAGATGGTGAGAAATAAGATTCTCTGGTCTGATGAGACCAAGATAGAACTTTTTGGCCTTAATTCTAAGCGGTATGTGTGGAGAAAACCAGGCACCTGTCCAATACAGTCCCAACAGTGAAGCATGGTGGTGGCAGCATCATGCTGTGGGGGTGTTTTTCAGCTGCAGGGACAGGACGACTGGTTGCAATCGAGGGAAAGATGAATGCGGCCAAGTACAGGGATATCCTGGGCGAAAACCTTCTCCAGAGTGCTCAGGACCTCAGACTGGAACTAAGGTTTACCTTCCAACAAGACAATGACCCTAAGCACACAGCTAAAATAACGAAGGAGTGGCTTCACAACGACTCTGTGACTGTTCTTGAATGGCCCAGCCAGAGCCCTGACTTAAACCCAATTGAGCATCTCTGGAGAGACCTAAAAATGGCTGTCCACCAACGTTTACCGTCCAACCTGACAGAACTGGAGAGGATCTGCAAGGAGGAATGGCAGAGGATCGCCAAATCCAGGTGTGAAAAACTTGTTGGATCTTTCCCAAAAAGACTCATGGCTGTATTAGATCAAGAGGGTGCTTCTACTAAATACTGAGCATTTTTCAGTTTTTCTTTTTTAATAAATCTGCAAAGATGTCAACAATTCTGTGTTTTTCTGTCAATATGGGGTGCTGTGTGTACATTAATGAGGAAAAAAAATTAACTTAAATGATTTAAGCAAATGGCTGCAATATAACAAAGAGTGAAAAATTTAAGGGGGTCTGAATACTTTCCGTACCCACTGTATATATATATATATATACTACATAATACAAGCTCTTATTTGATATATTTTCTATATTTTACTTTTATTACATATTGTTGCTAAAATCCACCCTGAATCTGTCCTTGACGACTGGACGCTTCAGTGTCCTGTAATTGCAGAATGACACAGAAACCAGCGCAGAACTGTAAACCCTGTCGTGTGTGTTTCTGTCCGCAGGTGTTGAGTATATGGGAGGGAACCACTAATGTTTTGTCTCTGGATGTTCTCCGCTCCATCGCGAAGTCGTCTGGGTCGGTTCTGCAGGCCTTCTTCACCGACGTCACCGTGAGAACACGCACGCGCTAGCGCTTCATGACTCAGAAATTATTATTACTGCTCAGTGTTGACTGTAATGTGATCCGTACTCTTGAACAGCTGCTGGTGTGTGTGTGTGTGTGTTTGCAGGAGCGTTTGCTGGCGGCCGAAGCGTCTGCTGCTCTGCGTCCGGCCGTCGCGTCTCTGCGCACATCGCTCTCGGCTCTGAAGCGTTTCGCTCAGACAGCAGCGGCTCGACCCGCGGGAACTCTGGAGCTGTCAGCGCGAGACCTGGCCTACAGCCTCGCTCGCATTTACATGGGTAAAACACACACACACACAACTGGCCTAGAAGTCAAGTCACCTTTATTTATATAGCGCTTTTAA